GCTGACCGCTGGGCACTTCCAACGGGCACTTCAATGCGAGACGGTGATTTGGGCGGGCGCGGTATCACCGCGACGTCGACAACGGTAGGCACGATGATGGTAGTAGCGATGATGGTGTCGATGATGACGACGACGGCGGCAAGGCCAATGACAGCGCCGACGCTGATCACGCTGATGACGAAGTTGGTGTCCTCGTGTCGGTGATGAAGGTTTTGGAAGGATTCGGCATGCGCGCGCGGCCGACGTGCGCGTGTGGCCCGCATGCGATTGTTTGACAGGGATCGTGCCCCTTAGCGCACGCACAAAGGGCACTCGAAGGATTTCGACATGCGGAAGAGAAGCCCATTTGGTAGTATGTGCTGAAATTGTTTGACATCCCGTGGCCCCGTAGGAATTTGCAAGAACGCGCGCGCAAGCTCTTTTGGAAACCAGGCGTTGCGAAGCCATGTCTTTGTGTCGGGCCTCTAGATGTTGAAACCCTGTCGAAACGTAAGGTTTGTTTTTAAGGATTTCCGCATGCGCGCGCGACGACGCGCGCGTGCGCACTGCGTCCGATCTTAGGCACGGAATTATGGCGACAACACTCGCGGAAGGGCGTTCGAATGATGTCGACACGCGCGCGCGAGAAACGCTTGGTCGCAGTTAATGAATATGTTCAAGCACCGATATTTGTTTGGGGGAAATGAATTCGCCAAAGCGTGAACACAATGTTCTTGCATTGACAATTCTAGTCGCGAAACCATGGGTTGTTTTAATCTTCCCAGGGCACTCGGCTTTGAAGTCCTGACGGAATCGGAAGTTGTTGGTGGAGATCGGCATGCGCGAGCAACGGCGCGCGCGCGTGTGTACTTCGTCCCGTTGTCTGCAAGGGATGCTTGGAAACTGATGCTCGTCGATAAACGAATGCGCGCGCATCGTATTTGTTGAAGAGGATGAGAGGGGTTCGATCAGCGACTGCCTAGGGATAAACGTAGGTTTGCCCACGAATTCACATTTAGGACCGGCGATCGGGCAGAACCGCATGTAACTTGCAAAACGGACGCGTCAGACGTTCAGTCTGGGGTGGGGGAGGGGGCGGTGGATAGTAATGCCTGTTTAGAAAGAGGAACCGACGTGGTGCAACCTGCGTGGCCCAATCTATGTGGTGCAATTCACTTTGACCGTCTTGAAGCTGTCCTCTCTACTGCTCGTGCAAACATCCCACCATCCCACCCGCAACTTGGTTTGCAAAACCTGTTAAGACCGACTGCGACGACACCGACGACGACGACGACTAGGACGACACCGACGACGTCTCCGACGACTTCGACGACGACAACGACGCCAACGCCGACGACGACGAAGACGACGACGACGCCAACGAAGGCGACGACGAGGGAGGAGGAAGGACGACGACGGCGACAACGACGACAACGACGACAACGACGAGGGAGGAGGGAGGACGGCGACGACGCGAACGACGACGAAGGAGGAAGGACGGCGACGCCGACGACGACAACGACGAGGGAGGAGGGAAGACGACGACGACAACGACGACGACGGCGACGAAATAGGAGGGACGACGACGAGACGCCGACGACGGACGACGACGACGACGTGGGAGGAGGAGGAAGGACGACCACGGCGACAACGACGACGGAAACGACCACGACGCCAAAGAGGACGACGACGACGAACACGAAAAAAGACAGAGGACGACGTAGGCGACGACGACGACGACGCGGGAGGAGGGAGGACGGCGACGACGACGACGACGACGACGACGCAAGAGCGCGCGCGCACGCTTTTGTTGAAAATCCGTGTTGCGAAACCTTGGGTTTTTGTAGGTTTTTGGACGCACGATTTTGAAATCCTTCCGAAACCGATGGGTTTTGAAGGTTTTCGGCATACGCCCGCGACGACGCGCGCGTCTGCACTTCGTCCCGTTTTTTGCAAAGGATTCTCGCGACGGCACACGCGCAAGGGCGTTCGACAGATTTCGACATGCGCGCGCGCGAAGCCCGTTTGGTAGCATTTTGTGTAAATCTTGAAAAACCGGTGGTTTTCTTAAGATTTCGCAAGGGCTCGCGCGGAAGCTTTTTTAGCAAATCAGCGTTGCGAAACCATGTGTTTTTGTATGTTTTTGGAAGCTCGATTGCGAAATCCTTCCGGCACCGAAGGTTTTTAAAGGATTTCGGCATGCGCGCGCGACGACGCGCGCGTGTGCACTTCGTCCCATTTGTTGCAAGGGATTCGCGAAAAAGTGTTATGCTAGGACCAAAAATGTCACCGCATAGTGTTTTTCACAAGGGAACCTCAGGGGGGGGGAAACCAGCCTGGCGGGGATGGTACGATTTCATACTTAGGATGGACGAGTGTGCAGAATATACATGAAATCGTACTATCCCAGGGGGAGCCGATGAGTCCGGGGGAAGGTAGAGTCTATTTTCTTTTTAGAAAGGAGAATTCACCAATGCTCACAGCGAGTTGTCAAATCCACTGCGCGCACCATCATCCCACC